ATTTGTGAATCAAAATGCTTATCTCACAGAAAACCTTGTACTACACTAAAACACAAAGGCTTTTATGCTGGAAAAACTTTGGATCTGCAAAAAATTGATGGCTTCTCATGCTGTACTTTAGCAACCCCAAACTTTCATGCAAATATGGCGTTTGATATATGAAGCTGTTTTTCTTGCATCAACTGTGTGAGTTTGAGGGGTGGATACTAGAATGATGACAAAGCCACTGAATTCAATCTTGCGTTTAGAACTTATTTAGGCATACACTCTGATCCCAAGTCATATGTGCTTTTGATAATCAAAGTTGCTTAGGGGAAGTGCTACGAACAACTTTGCACTAGCCTCTAGACCACAGCAAACCGTCACTATTTGCTCTCCGACTATATTTCACTGGGCAACAAACTTCGCACGATCCATTATAACATCTTTGAAGCGATTAGGAAACAGAATTCAGATTCGGAATCAGCGTTCCAAGACGAGTGTAATGGTATACAACTCGTCTCAAAAGGCCACGGATACCGAATATCGTTTTCCTGTTAGTTAATGCTAGTTGTTGATCCTTGGATTCTCTAATACTCTTGCGTGTTCGAGCTGGTAAGTCCTAGAGGAGATTCTGCGCTTGTACTCGTAAAATCAAAATAGTAGTTCCGTACTATTTTAGGATATGGTCAAAAGGCGGTGGGGATGCGCCACCAATTCAACATTCAGAGGACATTCCGGGCTCAGCGTTCTTCTGTGTATGAACCATTGCCACCCTTGCAAGAAAAGAAAAAAAAAGAAGACTCAAAGCCCTCCTTCCCGCCCGCCGAGGTCGCTCCCACTTGGCTGAAGAAGCTTTAGCGCCTTCATCAGCAGACTTTACGTTTCAGAGTGCTTGTGATTCGCGATGTTTTACCACATATGATGTGCACATAGTGTTTTTTTTACTCTTCTCGCTCAAGCATCTACAAAAATCTTTTCATTTTCGAAATGTGGCGTACAACACCTTCAAATAGTCACCTTAGACGCGTTTTGGCAGATCACAGTCACTCCAGAAAATGATTCGAAAGTACATTGGTCTCTTGGCCTACTGATCCAAAAAGCAAAAAAAAAAAACATTCGGTGTTTATCCTCTGCCACAATACTGATGTTGTATCAAGACAGTTATGATACCGTAGGAAGTTTTTAGTTCTTTCTTGAACACCTTTATTTTTTCCTTTGTTTATATTTTTCTAGTTACTTCGAGTATGGTTAGGATTGCCAAGCTCTGTTGTCTCCATTAATAGTTCGTCATATGAATCCTTCCGACACACAAATTTGTGCAGCACAGTAATAGTGAAGTCAATTTAGGCCTTGTTTCTGGAGCAAAAAGTAGAAGTGAGACATGTTAGAAATGAGGTATGTGACTAAAAGCACGTCACTTGTAATAATTTAGAGCTGGCCAAGAGTTATGGTCATATGACTACTTAACAGGAAGGCTTCCCAAGTCAGCTCGGCCAACCCGGATGAGTCATATATCACCGTAACGGGCTCGAGACGCTGATTCCAAATCTGCCGTTTCCAGCTGCGGAGCGGTCCTGCACGAGAAGTTATGGGTGGTGTTTCCCTCCAGAGTTGTGGCACCCGTCAACTTGCCTCCCCTTGTTTATGAGCGCTATATAGGAGGCGCATGGTTACAATTAAGGGATTCGAACCCGTGACCCTCTGCCTATCGAGCAAGACACTTACCACTACACCAGACGACCACACGCCTCCTATATAGCACTCATAAACAAGGGGAGGCAAGTTAGAGGGTGCCTCAACTGTGGAGGGAAATACCACCCATAACTTCTCGTGCAGGACCGCTCCGCAGCTGGAAACGGCAGATTTGGAATCAGCGTCTCGAGCCCGTTACGGTGATATATGACTCATCCGGGTTGGCCGAGCTGACTTGGGAAGCCTTCCTTGTTAGTTGCTTAGTCCGTGCGGTCAACAAATCAACTATACATTTTATTAGTTAGTGAAGGAGCAAGTTCTGCAAATGCAGCTAAATGTGGTGGTGCATGTTGTGCTCTACATTCTTAGATTTAAAAATTCTAGTAAGGCTTTGAGTTCATTTGGTTACAGAGCAATTTATGATAGTATAGAAACTCCAGTTTTGATTTCCTTGAAAATGTCGGTCTTATTCTTTTACTTCTCACTTCGTCTTTGAAAAGAGATCTTTTTGAATTCTGTAAAATGTACTTTGTAGTGATTGTATCTTCTATTGCATTGTATGTTTCAGAGGTAATCTCTGAGAAAAACTAAACTCAAGCTCTAATTATTGGGTTCTTGCAAAGCTTCCCCTATGAAAGAAGATATTACGTTAAAAATCTGATTTACGTGAATTTTGAAAGCATGTCTAGAAAAAATTCGAATACCCTAAAATTAGATCTCTTTTCAAACGCTTCTGAGAATCTCTGACTTGGTCACGCATATACTGTCCACAAAAGAAATTCAATTACCCTAATTAAGTAGTAGGCTCAAGTGGCTCACCCATATATAAGGCGCACCTGCCGCGCGAACGTTAATGCGAAAGTTGCGCCCTAGGTTTTGACCTTGGGTAGAGCTGTACTTTAACGGTCTACTTATCTCTACTTTACTGGAAACTGCTAAATGGGCGCTACAGAGTCAGGATGTAAGTGCTTTCAATTTTAGGAAGAGTTTAGCGAAAATCTGACAATATATAGACATAAACGAACTCAGTGCCAGATAGCGGATGAGTTTAAAATGATAACAGTACGGGTGTTTTAGTGTTTAATTTTTGTTTAACGGGATATGAGGATAGAGCGACTAATTTTCCAAAAACGCATGATCACAAGCGTTCTAACAGAGAACGAATGCACAAAACTGTTACGAAAAGTTAGTGCCTTTGCCCTTGCAACGTCGCACTTCGCCCGCGTCGTCGCAAAACTGCTCGCGCGCAGCGCCCAAAAATGCGCCTTATACTCCGGAAAATAGGGTATACACTCGCTTTTTTTCCAAGGCTGAGAATTGAAAAATAGAAATTCGAAAAATGCGAAAATATTTCTCTGGATCTTCTGCTAGATTGTTATCTCTCAAAAACGAGTGCTTGCAGAAGGCTGAAAATCTATGGTTGTACTTTTGAAGGTTTGTAGTATAAAATTATCCATGTGGGAGCACCTCAGTATTGCATTTGCTGGACAATGCCAACTTTTATTTCTTAATTCTAACCGTGTATAAAACACAGTAACTGTACATTTGTATGTTTGATGAAGGCAGTATATGCGTGACCGAGTCGGAGGTTCGCAAAAGCGTTTTGGGCAGAGATCTAGATTTTGGGTATGAATCTTTTCCGTTTTGATTTCAATTTTATGTAGATCATCCTAGATATCTACGTGGGTCTTTTTCTGCGTTTGCTCGAATGCCATCTTGTCGAGCTTTCTTTCCTCTATCGAATGATGTACTTTCTACATGTTTATATCTACCCTGCCGTGATCGCGTAAGAAAAAACTTAAGGAACGGCTATTGATATTCAGACAATCCAAAACCATGATAGCAGTATAAAAGCGAGGGCTAATAAGAGAGGTTCATACACAAATGCATTACGGATACGTGGTGCACTCTTGACGCATTATTGCGTTTAAAGGGCAGTTTTGAAAAGCGGCATTGGCAGTGCTAGTGAAAAGTGGCATGTATACTACATGCTTGAATGAAAACATTGAAGCCTTATTGGCTTTTCATGTGTTTATCTGATTACGCATTAAGGCTTAGCATTTTCTTAGGTGCACCTACTTTTAGAGAGAAAACTTAAGCTTTTTCCAGTAGTAAGAATATTACACATGTACGTTCAGCCTTATAAGCATCGGAGAAATAATTTTAAAAAAGAATCACATTTTTGATTTAAACCTGACATCGATTTAATAAAAATGAGCTCAAATTCTAGTTTCAGACTCTAATGTCTTCGAAACTTGGAGTGGAGCACAAGCATAATCTATAAGGAAAGAATTTTGCATAGTGTACTGATCTTTATCCACAAAGCTGCGCATCGCCTTTGTTGAGAACCCTGTTCTCCGCGGAATGGTGTGAGGGAAATCGCATTAGTTTTTCATGGTTGCTTTCAAAACTTTCGTTTGTAGGTACCAGATAGGTAGAAGACATGTACATATTGTGAGCTATAGATCTCTTGAAAATTTTAAATAGCGCCAGGAAAATCGAGGATTGTCAATTTATCTTTGTAGAAGGAATGATTACCGCATCCTTGTCACTCCTTGTAATGAGAATTATAGAAGCCTTTCCTAATGCACGAACTTCCTATCGACGTATAATGCCTTTACTCTGATTAAATTTACAAGGCCGTCGTAAAAAAAGTTCGAAGGCTAAAATCTGACCTTCGATGTAAGTCAGGTTAATGTCGGGTTAGTTTCCACAATGGAAATACGAAATTTCTTCCTTAATGCCTATGAAGTTGATCATCTAGGGCGTCAAGGAAAGCCTGTGCAATTTCCCCAGCTCAAAAGCAGTGAATGAAAACCCCACATTGATCAGATACTAAGAACAGAATAAGCGTAGATGTTTAGCTTGGATAGAGGTAAGCGTTTAACCTGCAAAGGCACTGTTCGCAAGCCAAAGAAAGCTTTGAAGAAGAAAAATTAAACGTGGGTTTATAATTTCGTTAGAACCTTCGTCCAAATTTCTTCAGAATTGCTTTTTTTGAAAGTGCAACAAAACGAGACTGTTTCTGGAAGCTGCCAGTAAGCTGGTTGCGAACCACAAAAAAGTGGTTACGGTATTTTTTTTAGTGCTTCCATAGTTTCGGACACCACTCATGAGTTATAATTACGCTACCTTCCGTCCGCCATTATTGTACGCCATTTGCTCCCGCTGAGGCCAATACTTATTAATGAGATTCTTGATATACCAAAACTACTTATGAGATGATGCCTTCAATTGCATCTAGTTATCCACATTTTATTTGATGGAGAGTATACCCAGCTCCGCCTATAAAGCCGAACAGCTTTCTCCGCCTTCTACTCGCTATGCATTCGTTTTCGGCCTGAGCTTCTCCCAGAAATGAAGCTGATCGCACTGATTCTGGTTGTGCTGATGAACTTGACGGCGGTACGAACCATACGGTTAGGTAAGCTTAATAATAAATTGTGCCTTCTCAAACTTTCATCGTTTAAGAGACCTTATAGGTTTGTGAATGAGTAAGTTTGCACTAAACCGCAAAGAGAGATTTGGTAGAAATTTGGGGTTCAAGTGCTCTTCACAGCTATCACACCACAACCACTTTTATATCTCAAAATGCTTTCAGTATTACATAAATAGAAAGAAGGGTGTCAAATGCGTTTAGCAGCTCTTAGGCAAAATATAAAACTCAGCAGTTTCAAGTAATTTTGTTGTGATTCACAAAGCAATGCCATAGTCCTTGCTGGATTTCAATCTCATTTTTTTCTGATAAGATGGCAGCTGACCGAAATTGCCTAGACAGACCATTTTGACTAAACCTTCTCTCAACTGCGAGACATGCTGTATGCCAATAGCTACAGAAAGAAATTTTGAGAACCCAAGTGTTCAGAAAGGAACCAATATATCTTGGTCCAAAAGTTCATCCGCAACATTTTTAAATATTGCTATGTGTATGGATTTGCCTGTAATAAATTTTGAATGAAAAAACCTGTAGTTTTTAGTTGTAGCTTGAATGCACTTTACTAGCACAGTCGCAGGGTTCATATTCAAGAAAAAGATCATTCAAGTTTCGATAATTCTAAGCAAGTCCAATCTAAAAAATTACAAAAAACACGGAAAAATGAGCATATGTTCAATGATATCCTCTTTTTAGCGAAGCATAAGCAGAATTTGTGCTGATGAAGTGGCTTTGTGATTGTGACTTTGAAGCGTAATTTACGTATTTTACGGAAATCAGTGTGCCACTTTTTCCCCCAGTTACAATGAGGAAGTCATACTAAAACCTATATTTGTGACTTTTCGTTTTCCGCTGTGACGCTTCTAGGATTTTTTTGAGCTTGATTGAAAATTGTTGAATTTGAGTAATTCCTTTACTTGCTTCTAACTTTTTTACTCGTGATTCATTCAAATTTACTACTGTAAATCGCATCATTTCGCTTTCATACAAAAATACTTTAATAATTTTCGGTGACCTTGCACAAATGAGTTTTTCATTGGTTTCTAACTTCATTTACTCACACTAATTCAAGGCAGAAGTGTAGTATGTAGTGTTGTAAAGAAGATGTTTTTAACTTAACAAAAAAATTTCGAAGAATCCATCAAGACGCAAATTTATGGTTTTTGGAAAGATGCGAACGAACTTGATCAACCTAATATGCGATACCACAGCTCCGAGTTCTATAATTTGTAATCACTTCTTATGTGTTACTCAGTCTCAATCTGCAAATGAAAGACCCAAGCGAAGGTTTTCGCGCCTTTGGCTTACGGTTTGCGCACAAAAAAAATTCTGTGCAGAAAACTTCTTCATGTCATTGAAATTTATTAGATACGAGCTGACATCCCGGGTTCCACTCGTTCTGGAGCCAGTCCATCGTGCTTGATCGCTCATGTAGCGAAATTTACCATTATTTTGATTCCGACTCATCTTAGGTTCGCTTCCTACCGTTCTTACCATATCTTGATGACCAGCAGATTAAAATGAGCTCCTACGCTCATCCTTGATGACTATGGGAAATGTGCACAGGCACACAGACACACAGATTTTTTCCTTTATATATTAGGTTGTCCCGAAAGTTTTGTCCGTTTTTTCAACCTATCATAAAAACGCGTGGAACGAAGATAGGGAAACGCGCTAAGCACTATCCGACGCATCTTTTTCTTCTCTTTCTAACTGTCATGATTCCATGCCGATTAATATTTGTTCACTGAGATAAACGCCGAAATGTCGAACCCATGGTTTTTACTATGTCCAAGTTTGGCAGTTTTTCACAATCTTTATTTTTGACTTTCGGAAAAGCTTTGGCAACATTTAGATAGAGCAAACAAAGGGCAATATAATGCAATTTTTCGGCATCTATAGCCAGCCTTGAAAATTTTTTAGAATTATTTTTCTGATGCTATCAAATTCCACTTTTGGTGATGCCAAAAGCCAGAGATCATGAAACGGCGCACAACTAAGGCGTTATTCGATGCAGCTTTTCCTCCTCTTTTCAGTGAGTGTATTTTCTTTCCAATTTGCGGGGTCTTTGGCGATAAAATTTTCATAATTCTTGAATTTGACCCCACCCCGGCGTGTGCACGTAAAATGCAAAATCTTATATTTCGAAGCGGTAAACGCTCATTTGCTTCGTAAAAATAGTGAATAATCGTAATCGATTTTTGAAAGCTTCAAAATTCGATGATTTGTTAGTGTTCGAGGCGTTTCTGTATTTTAAAACTTCGCAAAGTTGAAGACTTTTGAAAAAATTATCTTTAAAAATATTGAAAAGCCAGCTAGATATGCCAAATAATTGCATTGCATTGCCTTTTGCTTACTCTATTTGAGGGCTATCAAAGGTCTTCCAAAAGTTGAAAATATAGATTGTGAAAAATTGTCAAACGTGGATATAGTAAAACCCATGGGTTCGAAATTTCGGCGTTTATCTCAGTGAACAAAAGATTAACCGGCATGGAAGCATGACAGTTAGAAAGAGGAAGAAAAGGAGCGTTGGGGAGTGCTTAGAGCGTTTCCCTATCTTTGTTCCACGTAATTTTATGATCGGTTGAAAAAACGGACAAAACTTTCGGGACAACCTAATATATAGAGACAAGGTAAAAGTCCGAACAGTGGCTGGATTATATCCACAAGTCAATATTATGTGTATTGAATGAAATGATTGTATATGGTAAATGTAGTGCGAAGCATCAGATACTTGCAGTCAAGAAATAACTGAAAATCTTCAACGACTTCCTTAGCGCATTGTGCAGATAGCAGAGAGATCGTTTCTTGCGTTTACTAGGCTTGATAATGTAGTTGAGAGCTTTTGATTATTTTGACAAGGACCTTTTTTTATGATTTTCTATGCTATGTGAGTATTGGGGCATAAAGGCTTTAGTGCATTCCTGTTTATGAAACAGATTGCGTAGTCCGGAATGAACGTTGCACCAGCGGAAATTAGCTTAGTTAACAGCATATCTCTTTCGCGGTTGGATTTATAAGGCCTTTTATATTCAGAACATCTTCAGATTACATCTGACGCACAAGCGGGATAAAAGATCAATTCAAATTAGAACTGCTTTTGTATAAGATGGAGGCGTTATATTTTGGCAGAGTAAGGGGAAAGACTTCCGCAATTTTTGGATTTATCAAACACAGAGTGAACGAATTCTTGAAGTGATAAGAGACCAAAAGTGAGGCGTCAGTCACATATTTGCACTTCTCAGCCTTTTGTCAACAATGTTAGAGCCACAAATTTTTGACGGTCCTCACTGCGTAAAGCAAGCTATAACATTGTTTCTACCATATAAATTGTGATCCAGTAATAGAAGGAATGGCTTTTGAGAGGCGTTCCATAGCTTTTTACAAATGCACGGATCTATAGTCTCAAAACTCTTATCTCAAAACTCTTATCTCAAAACTCTTTCCGGTCGTCGCGTGTTTTTGCAATTAGATGATCGTCACCTTTTTCATCTCTGACCAAAAACTGCTTAGGTGGCTGCTATAGCGGAATGACCCAACGAATAACCAAAATAATAGCGTAGGCATCATGCGGACGCTTTGATTGAAAATCAGCAACTAAACTATCATTGTGGGCTTTTCAAAGAGCTTCATATGTGGTTGCGGTGTGTTCCCTTTTACTGAAAGATTATGTTATACTTTAGGTCGATTGTTATCATCTGAACTAGTATCAATGACTTATCGACCTAGAGGCTAGTAGTAAAACTTCATCTAAGTTGTTTAGGATCAAATTTTTAAATGTGATTGATTTTAGAGAAAAAATTTTGATAATTGAAAATGAAAGCTCCCATTAACCGTATATTTTCGGACAGATGATCAAGTATGTAGTCATAAGATTGTTAACATTTCGCATCTGGTAGAATCTCCAGTTTCCAATTTTGTTTTTTTGAGCTATACAACATATCGAATATCCCTTTTCCGGGAAAGGCCTTCGCGGTGCAGAGTTTTTTTGTGGATAAAAGAGCACATCAGGTGGAATAATTTGACAGGCCCCTCCAGTTCAAATGTTGAGGACTCGTGGCTTGGACGATTGTGCCTTCCATGCCTTAGAAATCATAGAACTGCTGCCATTAGTGGTGCTTTATAGACAGTTCAATTGCTGCTTCTCAGTCATCTCTAGCACTAAATACTTCACTCCTGCTCTTGCGATTGACCTTTAACTTTCAGCAATCCTTCCGCCGCCGCTCTCACCGAATTCATGGAATTTGGGATTACCCAATAAACTGCGCTTCATTGATGAGGTTCCTAGACGAATTGCTCGAGAACCGAGGATGAACTACAACTACCCTGCCAGCTTTTGGTTTCGCGGGTAACATCGTTGCCAATAGATTGTGTATGTATAAAAGTTGATTAGCAAACACAATTTTGTATATTTACAACCGTGGTCAAAGACTGTACAGATTTTTCCGTAAAAGTCGCGAATTTCAAAAAAAGAGAAAATAATTTTATAATACAAAGTCACTGCTATGATTAGCACTTTCACCGGAATCGGATTCCATCCAAACAATTGTAAAATGAGGATTATCATCGGAAACAGGGCGTATCTGAATGGAACAATTGGCTTGAGATGAGTTGTATTCCAAAATAGTCCAAGCTTGACATTGAAAGTTCACAGGAAACTATGTACATATGTATCTAATAATATGCTCTATTCATCTAAACAACTGCAATGACTGAATACGTGAATTTCTGCGGTAGTCGAATTTCACTCTTTTCCTATAAGCCGCAGCATCAAATCGAAGCCATGACTGTTTTTTTCTTTGCCCACAATTCTTTTAGCCAACCATAATTTCCGGGTTCTAATTGTTATACAGATTTCCATCAAAAATTTGGGAGATAAAAGCGACGCATGTCAATCAAGCTGGCTATTCTACATTCTACGGAAAACAAAAATGTATTTTTTCAAGTTCCTAGGCCAAGGCAACAGTCAACAAGCGGTCTTGCAAAAAAAAGAACTTGAGCAAATTGTGGCTCTCAAGATTAGTTTTCTTCAGAGGGAAGACATGATATGCATACCGCTTCATATCTATGTCACAGACTCTTGGTGCTGCTTTGAACGACACCATAAATGGTCTTTGTTCTGACCAAATAATAATTTCTGCTCATTTCCGCTTCACGTCAGGAACAGGCTCATCACTGGTAAACAACACAGAATTGAACATTCTCAGTACGCATTATCCGCTGTTCAATTTTGTGCCAGAAAATGAAATGATTGCCCTTTGAATGAGCATGCCACTACAGGAAATTAGGATATGGGAAACTGAGTCTGTTAACGCTGAGGACATAGTGACTGGCTTACCCTAAATGTTACGCAGAATGATACCATGGTAGGCTCATATAGATAATCATGGCCTACAATAAGCCTGGTAAAACTTGTATCATTTTCCTGAGGTAAATCTGCACAAAAGACTCATTACATGCATACCACACTAAAAATAAACTTTTAGGGTTTTACCTTCATAAATGTATAGATACATCAAGCCTAACTAAAGCCACTTTTGACCAATAGATTATCGTACCATAGCAATTACCGTAGGACTCTTAACCCATTGACGACGACGCCTAATTCTGTATGACGGTGCTGTGGGACGACGCGATTTTGCACAACACTTTGGACGTGAGAAATTTATGATTGTTTACGAAAGGTAAGGTTGTTTTGTAAACAATTGCAATCATCTTCTTGGACCACGAAGTCTAGTGCAAATGGAAAAAAATACTGAACTGTGAAAAAAAGTACTAGTCCTGGAAAGGATATGATTTTGGAAGGGGTGTGAGCCACCGGTGGTCCACATCGTCGAATGGAATTTCAATAAGTGTTAAATTAAAACTCCACAGATGAAATTAAGGCATTCAATGGAATGTGTTGAAAGGAAGAGGAGCTGTATCGCATTTTCTGTAACGTGCCTTTTTCGGGTATGGTTGAGGTAGCAGATCAATATTGCATATTCTTGACTCTTGATACTCAGAGGGCTTTTGAGTAAACTTTACATGGCAAGTCTGTAATATCTGCCTGATCAAGGTCTCACCAAAGTTTCTTGGAAAAAATTATTCCGTTGAGACGAATTATAAACCCACAAGCAATTTGTTTACAACTTACTCATGTAACCTGGTGCCTGTTATTATTTTGATTTCGAATAAGGACGAAATCACAGAATTGATTGGAAGCTTTTGGATATCAACGATGAAAGCTGATTACCGCATATGCAATACTTCTAATGTTGCTGAGTTTTCTAGAGAGCACATTGCTGAGCTGTTTTTTCTCGGACGTAATGTCTGTTGATCCGAATTGCCGAAGAAAGCGTGTAACGAAGCGTTTGCTAAGGAGAGGCTTTGCCGTGAAGATCCAATAAGCTTCTGCATACTTGGAAGCACTGATTGTTACCACTGGAACCCTTGTTGAGGAGATCCGTACACAACCACTCAACAAAGACGCTAGCCGATTTTTGGAAAGAGGGTTTAAGAGTGCGAGAAAAAAAGATGTTTTGGGACAGAGATTTATGACTAATCACAACCAATGGCAATTAAGTTGACAGTGTGTCAGTACTGTAGAATTGTTATTACCAAACACACAGCAAGATTAAAGCAATGCCCTAGGGGTGTGTGCCCTTCTGAACCGCTCCGTCCTAGCGCTAATTACTCTGCCCGGGCAACGCTAATTACTTCGCCTTCCTTATAATCTAGCAGAGTTTTCAAATATTTCTGAGCATTCCAAAGCAAGTGAGGCACACGATAATGATAGTGAGGATGTTTGAATTATGAAGACAAAAAAAAGAAAAGTTTGCACATTTCTAAGGTCATTTCGTGATTTTTTCGCCCTTCCGTTTTCAAAACACCATGAAGTTTGCACGTGTGAGGTGAAGAATCTACCTAAGCCGCCCAAATAAAACATTCTCGAGTTTCATGGGAATCGAAATCCTGTTTGATTCCTTTTATCATGAGAATGCCTTTGAAGTTCAATTCAGACGTCTCTAACGACAGCATAGCCTCTCGCTCACCCAAGCGGCGGCAGCACCGACCAATCAGAGGCGCGCGGTAATTAGGCTGCTAACGTTAGCGGTTCAGAAGGGCCGTCTCCCATGCCCTAGAACAAAAAAAAATTAATATATTCAAGATATATATCAGTCCTCTTTCCGGAAAGATGAAAAACATTACAACCATTAGCGGCTCTTTAATTCGTTCTAGTTACGCTTATTAGTACTATTCAACCTCATACTGTACAAGTAGTAAAACTGGTATTCTTAAAGAAAAAACATTATATGCCGTCCTGCTTGTGTGGCAAGATCGAAAAGATAATACAGGGTGGTCCACATGAAGTGTGACACAGCGAGAAACTATTGTAACTTTGCATGAACTGAATAAAATCAAAAGCTTTTGTCCTCATCTGATAGAGGAGGGAATTCTGTACAAGAACGCTTAGTTAGTTTTTGAGATACGTGTCCGTGGTTGTTTTGAAATCGTTTTTTCCCCTCCAAACCTCAGAAATTTCTTCGATTTGCGCGCGATGGATTCTGCTCCAAAACTCTCATCAGTTAAAGGGCAGACTCTTTCCTTTCAGGCAGATAAAAAAGAGTGTTTGTAGGTTTAAGGATGAGCGAGCTGGTGGGCCAAATATCATTTTTTTTCACTATTCAAACGATGGATTTTACAAAACTGCAATTTCTTCTTTTCGCTGGATTGGTGTCTAGTCATGCTAAAAATCTGCAAAAGCGTCTATAGTATTTCCTTTCCATTAGGGTGCCACAGCCCTTCAAAGTTTGCTTTCGATGCTTTTTCCAGAATCTCAAGATTGCGAATTTGGCTGCCATGGCGACTGCCTTTGAAAAATTTTCAAGCTTGACCATGTCTTACTAAAAACCGAAGTCGGGAACAATCACAACGGGACAAAAGAATATGGAGAAGACGACTATCATCAAAACATGGAATGAAAGAAACTAAAAATGAATTTTTTGCAGCCAGTCAAATATCATGTGGCCACATATGAAAAAACACTGTTCGGCCTTTCCGCTCAAACATCCTTGAACCCACGAATTCTCTTCCTGGCCTTCTGTGAGCAAAACTTCCGCTCTTTCAGATCCATTTCATTGGATTTGCTAGAAGGAGATCCTGGGACGAGGATACGTCGAAAACCATTGCGCGCATTTTGAAATTTTCTCCGAGCGGAATAAATTCTTTCATCGAAGCCAAAGGTGGGTAGCCCAAAATTATCTACAATATCCTATACGGAAATTTCTCGTCTATTGAATGAAAACAAAAGCTTTCAACTTCATTGAGTTCTAGCAAAGTTACGAAAGCTTTTGTGCGTCACATTTCATTGGACCACCCTGTATAGTGTTTTTTTTGTCGAAATTCATTATCGATCTCAATGCTACTAACATTTTGAAAAAAAATACAGACTTACAACACAGAAGAAAATACAGACAAGGAAGCAAACAAGTATGAATACGGTGATTTTGAATGCAAAATTGGAGTTTATAATGGCGGCCGAAAACACAATGGCTTTGCTCTTCTAGGGTCTTACCTTAAGCCTTCTTGACATATTTACTTGGTGATTACGCTGGCAGCGTCATTATAAGAGCAAGTGGGACGCTGCGAATAAACTTCTTGACGTGAATGACTGAATTACGGAGCTTTACTTTCGTCAATCTCTGAAATACATAAATGTCACAAAGACTGCTCTGCGTAAGTTGCCACATTTTCAAATACTATCAGTATTGCTGACAAAATGGGTAAGATTTTTCACTCAAGCAGGTATAGAGAGGGGCAGTAGAACTTCTTTCTAAAATAACCTACATCAACAAAGGACTCAAAAGAAATTTCAAGGCTCCCTTCCGAAGCGCACAATTACTTCTAAAGTTTTTTTAACGTCAGTAAAATATTAATTTGCTTCCTTAACGCTAGTAAAATATAAGCTTGGAAATTAACACAAGTGTTACTACTTTTACCAGTATTTTCCTCCAATATGACACACTCAGATTTTGCCATTCTTACATAGGTTATTAAACAAGCTACAAGCGCAGCTACTACTGTCAAATTCTGACGTCACTATGAAGGTTACGGTAAGTATATGGTATAAGTGGAAAAATCATAAATTATAGCAGATTTGACTGAAATTGGTCTAGGGGATCATCCGACATGCTGACCACGAAAACGATCCTGAGATCGACGAATTCGGAGGTTTCGACTCCTTAGTCATTAAAGGCAGTGTCTCACCAAAGTTGAGGTCGCGCGGATCTTTACATATTCTATCATAGGGACCTCTAAATAGGCCATTGCAACAAGTCCCACTCAATTTGACCCCCTTCACGCTGAGAAAAATTCGCTCAAAGTGGTACGCGGAGAGCGAGTTGGTACGCGCGGA